CGGGCCGCGGTGGCCGGCCTGGGCCATGGCTGGCGCCTGGCCCCCCGCCCGCCGGGGCGGCCCGGCCTGCGCCGCGGGCCCCGCTGCCCCCTCGGGGCGGACGGGGGCGGCCCACTCCTTGGACGCGGCGGCGGCGTTATCCTTGGCGGCGGACTCCTGCGCGAGGGCGACGGCGAGGGCCTCCCCCGCTTGCTGCAACTGGGCGCGGAGGGAGTCGACGTTTTGCTGGCGCTCGCCCTTGCGAGCGGCGGCGCGCTGCGCGGCCCTCTTGGCGAGCCCGACCTGCTGCGAGAGGGGCGGCGCGCGGCCCTCCTCGCCCTCGTCGACGCCGGCAACCCCCACGGCGACACGCTGGTCCTTGAGCGCCTCCAGCAGCGGGGGCACCAGCAGCACCTGCAATCCCGGCAGGATGCGCTGGAGGTGGGGGTCCTCGTCGGGGTCGTAGTCGGGCCGAAGGTCCTTCTCGCGCAGGAGGCTGCCGCACTTGCACCGGGGGCCCATGCGCGCGCGCGAGAGCCACTTGCACTTCCCGCGCGTGTCGCGCGTGTCCTGCTCCTTCATCTGCCACTGCTCCTTTTCGCTGGATTGCTGCTCCCGGGCCCCCTAGGCCCTGCCCCAAGTCCATCCGCCCTTGCGCGCGCGGCGCGGCTGGCGGCGGCTGCGCGCGCGGGCCCGGGAACCGCTCGCGGCGCTGCCGGGCGGGGGGCGAGGCAGAAAGGCCGCGCGCTTGGGCCCGCGGCGGGAGCGGTCGGCCACGTCGGCCCCCCTCGGCGGCCGTCGCGAGGCGGCGGGAACCGCGGACTCGAAGCCCCGCGGCAAGGGATTCGAATTTGAGCCAACATGGCAACGGCCTCCTCCTCCTCCTCCTCCTCCTCCTCCTCCTCCTCCTCCTCCTCCTCCTCCTCCTCCTCCCCCTCCCCCCCCTCCTCCTCTTCCTCCCCCTCCTGCTGCTCCTCCTCCTCCCCCCTCTTCTCCTCCTCCTCCTCCTCCTCCTCCTCCTCCTCCTCCTCCTCCTCCTCCTCCTCCTCCTCCCCCCCCCCCCCCTCCCCCCCCCTCTCCCCCCCTCCTCCCCCCCTCCTCCTCCCCCTCCTCGGGAGGGCTCGAAATTAGACTCCATCGATGATCCTATGTCCATGACCCCTCTTTCAATTAAAGTGCGAAATCCACAGACGCCCGCGCTCCGTAATGTCATAAGCATTCTCTCTAACATTCCACGTGGCACAGTGGCGCTCTGTTGCGGAAGTTTGTCGCGGCGTGCGCCGGCGCTGCGTTGCGCGCGGCTGCTGCGGCGTACGCAGACGCTTTCGCGTGCGCAAGCGCTGCGGTGCACTCGGGCGATGTGGCGCTCGCTGGCGCTGCGCTGCACGCGGCCGCCGCGGCGCGCGCGCGCGCCGCGGTGCGCGCGGGCGCCGCGGCGCGCGCAGGCGCTGCGGCTCACGCAGGCGCTGCGGCGCAGATCGCCGCCCTACGCCCGCCCTCGGCCATTCCGACGCACTCCCAGACGCCGCCGGAGCGAATCGCGGCGTCGCCGCCCCCATCTCCCCCGCCCCCCGGCGGCGGCCGCCATCGCACCGGAGCAGAACGCAGCCGGTTCTTGCCCCCGCGGCAGGACTGTCGGCGATGGGCCCCGTCGCGCTGTCCATCGCCGCGGCGCTTCGTCTCGACCATGGGCGCGAGGCAGCCGGGGCTGGAACTCGTCGCGCCGCTCGACACCGTGGCGCTCGGTTTCGTCTCGCTACGCGGCGCCGCGACGGCCCCAGATGCGCCGCTGGGAAGCGCGGCGCTCGCTGGACTGCGCGTCGCACTCTCGGGCGCGCGGCTGCTGGCGCTGAGCCCCGTCCGCGCGCGACGCCGTGGCGCTTGATCCCGCCGCGCGGTTCAGCGTCGAAGCGTCGGCCCCCGGCGCGCCCCTCGAAGGAGTAGCTCGTCGCGCTGCCCCCCCCCCCCACACGCCCTGGAAATTTAAACCATTGACGCGGCGCGGCCCAGCGGTCTGAGCGAAGTAGGGGCCAGAAATTATTATATTTCACTTGTCGGCCTGTAGATTTTGATTTCCCGGCCCTCATGCCCACGCGATCGCTGATCGCGATGAGGCCGACATCTTCGCGACGCGACACCAGTTGTGCGAATCGACCGACCTTGCGATTTGAAGGGGCGCCCAACACTGCGTCGCGCGACAATTGGACACCATGTCCCGCCGCCTGCAGGAAATCCTTCAGGCGCCAAAGGCGCTCTCTGGGCGGCCAGGGATCGCGGGGGGGGGTCCCACGTCGGCCTGAACGCGCCGAGAAACGACCCTGGGCGCCCGGTGAAACCCAGATCCCCAATCCGTTGCCGAGACGTCTCCACATGCGGCCCCAATGTCTTTTCGGGGACCGCTCGAGCCAACCGAAGGGCCGATGCATCGCGCATCGCGTCGCTTTCCATCAGCAAGTGAAAATGCATCTCAGCGCGCGCGTCGTTCTCGCGGAGCCCAGCAGCATCTTGCGATGACCGCGCTCGCTTGGTTTACGCGTTCCCAGGAGGCAGCAGGCAACGAAACGAAGAGCGCGCCGTGTAATCATTCAATTGAGCGTCTGCGATCGAAAACCCAAACAACTAATGAAAGATAAATATTTCTGGCCCGGCGGAGCGCGCGCCGCGGCGAGCCACTGCCATCGATCGCCCCACGACGGTCGGCGAAATGGAACCAACTGAGCTGCAACGCGCGCCCTTTGCCAAGGGAAAATCCGTCGCCCCTGAAGCAGCCGCGAAGATTATTAGGGGGGGGGCGGGGCCCGCGCCGCCACCCCTCTCGCCGATCGGCGCGTCTTCGGCACCTTGCCGCCCGCTTTTTCTTAGACGGGAACTCGCGGGAGATCGCGCCCGACGCCCCTGGGCGGGATCACCCCGGCATCGCCTTCCGGGATTCTCAGAAAAGTTGGGCCGTCGAAAGGTCGCGGCCCGCGCCGGTGTTTGCAGAGCTGGCTGAAGCGTTTCCGCCGACGCGAACCAAGCCCCAGGGCGTTCGCGAGCCCTGCCAATGCCGCAATCGCCCGTGCGACGGTTGGCATCGGATGTGTGGGCCCAGGCCCCGGCACGGGCTTCCGCGCTCGCACTGGCGGGTCTGGCGGTTAAGCCGCGGGTTCTGCCGTCGACGGGGCCGGCGTCTCTGCTGAACTGGGTCTCGACGCTGGCGCGCCGCAGCCCCTCCCAAGGTTCTGAAGGGAGCGATGGATCAGACTTGACGCGAACAGGGCGGCTGCCTCCGTATGTCAGCAAGACCTCCCACTACTGGTTGTACTCCCCCGCGCGGCCAAGCACGGCGTCGCGCTGGCCATTCGCAGGGTTTTTTGGCTGGCTCGCGACCGTGACTTCAGTGCCTTCCTAGATGGGCGGAGGCGCAAGTGGCGTCGATAAGGCCCTGTTGCGTCGGGTAGCGCTTCGGCATTGGTGGGCCTTATGCTTGTCCTGGTGGGCGCCGTCTCTGTCCCGCGGCCCGTCGACCGGGCGCCCGCGCCACGTGGCATTCTGTGCGGCGGACCCAGCTCATCCAAAGGATCCCTGCAGTGAATGCGTGCTGGAAGGCGGGCCCACCTCATCATGCGGTCCGTTTCGTCAACTCGCGTGAATGTTGTCGCGGGAGATGTTGACGTGGACCGCAGTGGCGACGACGCCAGTGGGGTTTGCTGCGACGCGGGTGTTGCTGAGGTTTCACTTGGTTTCGCCTTGGGTTCCACCTCGGGTTGGCCGCGGCTGCGACGGGTAGGTCCAACGTGCGTTGTTGGCGGTAACCTCTTCCACGGCAACAACTGGGAAGATGGCCGCGGAACCCCAAGAATCCGCAATCGGTGTTTCGGCCCTGGTAAGGGGCGTCTGTGAATGCTGCTGGTGTGCGAGATCCCGTGGACGGACCTGTGAACCGGAGGCGCGATCGGAACGTGCCAGCTTGATGCATCACGGCTGATGAGAGGCGCGGTGGCGTTGCCCTGGTGGGCGTCGGTCGAGACCGTGGAACCTGCTGAGCAACGGCTGGACCCCGTCTGAAGTTCCAGGGAGGAGTACGCGATGATGTAATGGATCTTCTTCTCGCGCAGTTTCATCAGCTCGCCCGTGATCTCACACGGGTCGGAAGGGTACTGCCGGCCGATGCTCAAGACGACCTTGATGGTTGTAGTATGCTTCGTTGTATGCAACGATTGCTTGGTTGACGACTCGGCTGCTCTAGAGTGCAGCGGCACTGGCCTCCTTTCAACCAAGGTTGGTAATATACCGGTTCGTTGAAGTTTTCTTTGAGCGGCCCTTGCCTCATGGCTTGGGCTGCGGCGGTACATGCAGCGCATGGCGAAGGCTTTTTGGAACCATTGCGGCGCGCGCGGGAATGCATGAGAGGATGTGCCATGAATACGTCCGGTGGTGAGGGCCACAAGCACAGTCTTCTCATGCTATCAATCGAATGGAATGCCGTGGCTGCGCCCTGGGTCCGAAGAACCTCGGACCGAGACTGGAAAGGGAAGAAGCGAGGAGGGGAATGAGGGGGGACCAGCAAGAGGGGGACGAGAGGGGGGGGGAGGGAGGAGAAGGGCGACGGAGGCGTTCGGAGGTCATGAGCGACAAACATTGGCTAGACTGCAAATCAAAACCCTTTGCGATGGGGACGTGCACAAGAGATTGGCACGCCCGAAATGGATACGGGAAAACTTGGTACAATGCCCAAAAGCACGTGTTCTCCCAAACCGACAGCAACTGACGTTGGGCAGGCGACCTTCTGTCTTCCGCGGCGACGCCGACAGCCAGCCCTGTTCGGAATGGACAGGAACTGCTGTCGGCATTCGCCCCCCTTCTTTCCGCACCCATGTCGATCGTACTGAAAGAGGGAGGAGAGGGAGGAGAGAGCGGAGGGGAAGGCAAGAGCAGGTGGCGACATCCGGACCCTACCCCCATCAACTATCGAATCTCCTGGATCGATGGGAAGCGGGGTAAGGTCTGGATTTCGCCATCGAGCTCCCTGAATCGTTGATCGGCGAGGGTAGGATTCGGACTTCGCCGCCGAAGGAGACCACCCGCGCCACGGCCACGCAACTCCCGCGCAGCCACTGCCTGGCGGCACGCGCGCCCCGCCCGCCACCGTCAGGGCCACCGGCGCTCGGGCCGTGCCGGCGCGCGGCGCGCCCAGCCGCGGCGGCTACCGCCTCCGCGGACAAAGACGACGACGACGATCGACGATCGACGACGACAACGACAGCGACGACAACGACGACAACGCCGAAATCAACGACGACGGCATCCGACGATTACGGCGACGACGCCGACGAAGACGGCCAACGACGATCGACGACGACGGCAACGACCAAGGCCGACGACAACGACGACGACGACAACGACGACGACAACGACGACGACGACGACATCAACGACAACGATTAGGGCGTCGCCAACGACGACGACCGGTGACGATCGACGACGAAGACGACAAAAACGACGACCGACGACGATGACCGGCGACGACGACGACGATCGACGACGACGACGACGACGACCGACGACGATCCCGACGACGACCCCGACGACGACAACGACGACGACGACGATCGACGACGAGACGACATCAACGACGGCCAACGACGATTACGCAACGACGACGACGAAGGCGACGACGACCACAAAGGTGACTACCGAGGACCGTCGACGACGACGGACGACGGACGATCAATGGCGACGACGACGACGACGACGACGGCGGCGACGACGACCGACGACGACGACGACCGACGACGACTGAGGACGACGACCGACGACGACCGAGGGCGACTACGTCGATCGACAACTGACGACGAAAGACTACGATCGACGACGGCCGACAACAACGACGACAACGACGAAGACAACGACGACGAAGATAAAGGCGACAGCGACGACGACCGACGACGATCAACGACGACGACGAAAGCGACGATCGACGACGACAGCGACGGCGACGATCGACGCCGACGACGACGGTCAAGACGACGACGACAACGACGACCGATGACGATCGACGACGACGTCGACCAGCGACGATCGACGACGACGACGACGAGCGACGACGACGGCGACGACGACGATCGACGACGACCGACGACGATCGACGCTGGCGACAACGACGATCGACGACGACGACGATCGGTGACGATCGACGACAAAGACGACAAAGACGACGACCGACGACGATGACCGGCGACGACGACGACGACGACGTCGACCGACGACGACCCCGACGACGACCCCAACGACGACAACGACGACGAGGACGATCGACGACGAGACGACATCAACGACGGCCAACGACGATTACGCGACGACGACGACGACGACGAAGGCGACGACGACGACAAAGGCGACTACCGAGGAACGTCGACGACGACGGACGACGGACGATCAATGGCGACGACGATGACGACGACGTCGCCGGCGACGACGACCGACGACGACGACGACCGACGACGACTGAGGACGACGACCGACGACGACCGAGGGCGACTACGTCGATCGACAACCGACGACGACAGACTACGATCGACGACGGCCGACAACAACGACGACAACGACGAAGACAACGACAACGAAGATAAAGGCGACAGCGACGACGACCGACGACGACGACGAAAGCGACGATCGACGACCACGGCGACGGCGACGATCAACGCTAACGACGACGGCCAAGACGACGACGACGACAACGACGACCGATGACGATCGACGATGGCGTCGACCGGCAACGATCGACGATCGACGACGACGACGACGAGCGACGACGACGGCGACGACGACGATCGACGACGACCGGCGACGATCGACGCTGGCGACAACGACGATCGACGACGACGATCGGCGACGACGACGAATACGACGAGCGACGACGATCGACGCTGACAACGATGACGGCCCCAAACGACGACAACGATCGACCACAACGACGATGATGATGGCGATCGACGACGAAGACGACGACGATCGACGACCACGAAGACGATCGATGACAACGACGACCTCGACCAACGACCATCGACGATCGACGACGACGGCGATCGACGGCGACCGACGACTTTGGACGACGGCGACTACCGACGACGACGTCAACGACGACGACGGAGACAACGATGACGACCTACGAAGATCGACGACGTCGACAGCCGACGATGACGACGACGACGACCGACGACGACGACCGACGACGACGACGACGACGACGACGGCACCGACGACGATGACGACGACGACGAAGGCGACGACGACGATGATGACAACCGCAACGTCGACGGTTATCGACCACGACGACGGCCGACGCCGACCGACGACCGACGGCGACGACGACGATTACGCGACGACAACGACCGACGACGATTGACGACGACGACGACGACAACGACGATCGACAACGACGACGATCGACGACGACGACGACGACCGACGACCGACGACGAGCGACCACGAACAACGACGGCGACGATGATGACGACAAACGACAGTCATAAACGACGATGATGATGACGGCCGACGACTATAGACGATGATGAACGGCGACAACGACGATCGACGACGGCGACGACCATGACGAACGACGACTACCGACGAGGACGACAACAACGATCGACGACGACACCGATCGACGACGACGATGACGACGACGGCGACATCGACGACAACGATGACGACGACGATGACGACCATGACTACGACTTCGACGACGATCGACGACGAGGTCGGCCGACGGCGACGACGAGGACCGACGACTACGATGGCCAACTACGACGACGACAACGACGACCGACGACGATAAACGACGACAACGACCGACAACGACGATGACGACAACAAGCGACGACGACGGCGACGACGACGACGATCGACGAGAACGACGACCGACGACGATCGATGACGAAGACAACGACGACGACGATCGAAGACAACGACATCGTCGACGACGACCATCGACGACCGACTCTGCGGACGATGACAACCGACGACGATGACGAACGATGACGACGACGATGAGGATGACGACCGACGACGATCGACGACGACGGCGGCAATCGACGATCGAAGACGACGACACCCTCGCAGACGACGACCGACCACGATCGAAGACGATGGCGACCGACAGCGATTGACGACGACGACGACGATCGACGACGACGGTCGACGACGACGACAACGACGATGACAACGACAACGCCGACGACGACATCAACGACGGCCGACGACGATCGACGACGACGTCGGCCGAAGGCGATCGACAACGAAGACGACGCGCGACGACGACAGCGACGACGACGCCGATCGACAACTGAGACGACCGACGACGACAACGACGATCGACGACGAGGACGATCGACGGCGACGGCGACGACGACGATGACGACGGAGACAACGACGAGGACGATGACGACCGGCGGCGACGACGATCGACGACGACGTTGACATCGACGACGATTGACGACGGTTGGAGACGACGAGCGACGACTACGACCTAAGACAGTCGACGATGACGACATTTACCGACGACGACGGCAACGAGCGACGATCGACGACAATCGACGACGACGACTGACGACGACGACGACCAAAACGATCGAGGACAACTCCGACGATGACGACCGACGACGACCCACGACGACGACGACGATTGACGACGACGACGATGGCGACGACGATGGCGACCGACGGCGATCGACGACGACGACAACGATTGAGACGACGACGGCGACGATCGACGACGATGGCGACGACGACGGCGATAACGACGACGACCGACGACCGCCGACGATCGACGACAGGGACGATCGACGACAATCGACGGCGACTGCCGACGACGATCAGCGACGACGACGAGCGACGACGACGACGGCGACGACGACGACGACGGCGACGACGACGACATCGACCGACGACGATCGACGACGACGACGATGGCGACGATCGACGCTGACGACGACGACTGACGGCCGACGACGACAACATGGATGATGACGACTGATTACGATCGACGACGACGATTGACGACGCCGACAACGATCGACGACGATTACGGTTGGCGACGACGACGGCGACGATCGACGACGACGGCAACGACGGCGAGAACGACGACGACCGACGACCGACGACGATCGACGACGGCCAACGACAATCGATGACGACAACAACGACGACCGACGACGACGACGATCCACGACGATCGACGACGACGAACGACGACTGCGACGACGACTACGACGTCCGACGACGATCCACGTCACCCGAGGGCAATCGACGACGGCGATGACGAGCGACGACGATCGACGACGACGACGGCGACGGACGACCGACGACGGCCGACGATCGACGACGACGACGGTTATGACGACCGACGAAGATCGACGACGACGACGACGACGACGATCGACGAGGATGGCGACCGACGGCGATCGACGGCGACGACGATTGACGACGACGACGGCGACGACCGACGACGATGGCGACGACGACGAGAACGACGACCGACGACGATCGACGACGACGGCAACCGACAACGGCCGACGACGACGGCAACGACGATCGACAACGACGATCGACGACGATGCCGAACGACGACGGCGACGGCGACGACGAAGACGACGACGGCGACGATCGACGACTGCGGCGACCGTCTGCGATCGACGACGACGACGCTGGCGACCGACGGCGATCGACGATGAAGGCGATGGACGATTGACGACGACGATGGCGACGATCGACGACGATGGCGACGACGACGGCGAGGACGACGACGACCGACGACCAACGAAGATCGATGACGGCGACGACCGAAGACGACCGACGACGACGACAACGACGATCGACGACGACGTGACAACGATCGACGACGGCGACGACCAACGACGGCGACGGTGACGGCGACGACGACGAAGACGACGACGACCGAGGGCGATCTACGACGACGACGACGATATACGACGACGAGCGACGACGTTCGACGCTGACGACGACAACGGCTGACGACAGAAGATGACGACAACGATCGAGAACGACGTCGATGATGACGACCGGCGACGACAGCGACGACGACAACGACGAGGATCGGCGATCGACGACGGTGGCAACCGACGGTGCTCGACGACGACGACGATTGACGACGACGACGACTATCGACGACGATGGCGAAAACCACGGCGAGAAAGACGACGACCGACGACCGACGTCCGACGACGATCGACGACGGCGACGACCGACGACGATCGACGACGACGAAGATCGACGACGACGAACGACGACGAACACGGCGGACGACGACGACGACGACTACGATCGACGACGACGTCGACCAACGGCGATCGACGACGACGACAACGACGACGAGCGACGACGATCGACGCTGACGACGAGGACGACTGAGGACAACCACGTTGAAGATAACGACGACGTCGATGATGACGACCGATGACGATCGACGCCGACGATGAACGACTACGACTGACGACGACGACGATCGACGACGATGGCGACCGACGGCGATCGAAGACGACGACGATCGACAACGACGACGGCGACGATCGACGACGATGGCGACGACGACGGCGAGAACGGCGACGACGACGATACACGACGACAACGAATTACTACGGCGACGACGACGACGACGACGACTACGATCTTCGAATACGTCGACCGACGGCAATGGACGACGACGACTGCCGACGGACGACGACGACGACGATCGATGACGACGCCGACGATCGACGACCGACGACGAGCGACGACGACGAGGACGATTGACGTTGACGGCGACGATGGCGACCGACGTCCGACGACGATCGACGACGACAACGACGATCGACGATCGGCGACGATGGCGACAACCACGGCGAGAACCGACGACCGACGTCGGCGACAACGACCGACGACCGACTACGATCGACGACGGCGACGACCGACAGCGATCGACGACGACGACGATCGACGAACGACGGCGGCGACGACAACGACGACGGCGACTGACAGCGACGAACGACGACGACGACGACCACGATGGACGACAACATCGACCGACGACGATCGACGACGACAACGACAGCGACGATCGACGCTGACGACGACGACTGACGGCCGACGACAACCGACGACGACGATGAGCGACGACGGTCGACGACGTCGACGACGACGACGACTGTCGACCGACGACGACGACGACGATTGAGCACGACGACGACGGCTGACGATCGACGACGACGTCGACGACGATTGACGACGACGACGGCGACGATCGACGACGAGGGCGGCGGCGACGACGATCGACGACAAAGTCGATCGACAACGAACGAAGACGACGACGACAAAGACGAGGACGACTACGATCGACGACGATCGACCGACGGCGACCAACGACGACGACGACGACGACCGACGACGACGGCGATCGACGACGACGACGACCGATGCTGACGCTGACAACGACTGACGGCCGACGACGACGACGATCGGCGACGTCGATAATGACGGCCGGCGACGATCTACGACGGCGACGATTGACGACGACGACGATCGACGACGATTGCGACCGACGGCGATCGACGACGACGACGATGACAACGATCGAGGACGACGGCGACGATCGACGAAGATGGCGACGATCGACGGCGAGATCGACGACGACCGACGATCGACGAGGACGACGACCGACGACGATCGACGATGGCAATCGACGACGACGAACGACGACGACGACAACGACGATTGACGACGACGACGGCGACGATCGACGACGACGACGAACGACGACGACGACGGACACGGCGACGACGGCGATCGACGGCGATCGACGACGACGACGAGCGACGACGACGAGCGACGACAATCGATGCTGACCACGACGACTGACGACGGCCGACCGACGACGACGACGACGATCGACGACGACGTCGATTATGACGACCAACGACAATTGCAACGACGACGGCGAGAAGGACGACGACCGACGACCCGACGATCGACGACAACAACGACCGACGACGACGGACACGGCGGACGATCGACGACGACGACGACGATCGACGACGACAACGAATAACGACGGCGACGACGACGACGACGTCTACGATCGACGACGACGTCGACCACCGACGATCGACGACGACGACGGCGACGTCTACCGACGACGACGACTACGAGCGAGCGACGACGGGCCTCGGCGGCCGCGGCCGCACGCGGGCGATGCGGCCGTTCGCCGCGGGTGGCGGGTGGCCGCGGTCGCCAGCGTCCCGTGGCGGGCGGCGGCGCGGGTCAGCCCGTCAGGAACCAGTCCTGCGAGAGGGCGGGAGCTGAGTAGAGTGGAGCGGAGTAGGAGGTTAAGGAGAAGGAAGAGGAGGAGGATGAGGAGGATGAGGAAGGAACGCGTTTCATTATTTTCGGCGATGACGGGCGTCATGGGAGGGGCGGGGTGCGGGGGGGGGTATGACGTAACGCCCCCCCCCCCCGCCGTGTGGCTCTGGCACCACAGCCGCGCCCACGCGCACGACGACGATGAGCGACGAGCGCCGAGCGACGACGACGACGACGACGCGAGCATCATGTAGCTGGCGATCTGTCCCATAACGCCTATGTACACCACACTGCTCGCGTGCACCACCGCGCGCGTGTACACCACAGCGCCCGCGCACACCGCATCAGCCGTGTGGAACGCAGCCCTTGTGTACACCACAGTGCTTACGTGCACTACAGCGCTGGTGTACACCACAACGAATGTGTACACCACAACAACCATGTGCAACACATTGCCTGTGGAACACAATCCTAGCGTGCACCGCAGCGCCTGTGCACACCACGCCGTCTGGTTACACCACAACATCCACGTACAACGCTGCGTTGGTGTATACCGCAGCGCCTGCGTGCACAGGACAGGTAGAAGGAGCATGCAAATGAGGACATCTAAACGCCACGCAAGGGAAGTGCTGATAATAGAATGAGACGTTCTTCCCTCGACCCTCCTCCTCCACCTCCACCTCCTCCTCTTCCTCCTCCTCCTTCTCTTCCCTCACCCTTCCCCCCTGTCGTGCGGGTCGGCGCTGCAGCGCATGTGAGCATCTCAGCGTGCACTGCAGTATGGTCGATTGAATCAGTTGCAGCATCCTGGACGCACATGGGAGGAGTTAGGATGATGCGGGCGGACTCGGGAGGACTCGTAGATTCCAGCGGCGCTACTTTCTCCATGAGACTTCCTTTCCAAATCTTGTATGGAACAACTTTTCCTGTGGAGCCCACAGGCGCTCCATTTTGTCATAAGGACTCCTTCTATCATTCTATAAGCTACAAGGGTTCCCCGTTGCACACGTTTGATCTGGTGCACACAGGCGCCGTGGTGTACACAGGCGCTGTAGTGCACGCAAGCATTGTGGTGTACACTGGTGCTGTGTTGCACACGGCTGATGTGGTGTACGCGGGCGCTGTGGCGTACGCAAGCGCTGTGGTGCCCGCAGGCACTGTGGCACACAATGGCGCTGTGTTGCACAGCGGCTGCTGTGGTGTACATAGGCGGCGTGGTGTACACAGGCGCTGTGGTGCACGCAAGCACTGTGGTGTACACACGCGTTGTGGCGCAAATGTCCACCTACATGTTGCTGCTACCCGTCCTCGGTCTTTCCCAGGCACTCCCAAACGCCGGCGGCGCGAAACGCGAAGTCACTGGCCCCCTCCACCCCACCCCACATGATTGCCGTCATCGGCCCGGAATAAATTCGCCGGCCCAATGGGCCAGAGGCGTGCCTAGATCTCCGGTAACTGGTTAACAATAACTCTATACTTCGCGCGCGCGCGGAGCGGCCCCTGGGGGTCCCCGGCTGGAAAGTACCCCGGCAAGGTCCCGGGACACTCCCGGCAAACTCAGGTCAGAGATGGTATTCCTCCTGGGTGCGGCTTCCACGCTCCCCGGAGCGCACCAAGAGGGCCCCAACAGGCTTCCAAGACGGCCCAAGAGGGTTCCGAATTATCGAACGATCGGCCCAAGACGCCCAACACGGCCTCAAGACGGCCCAAGAAACTTCCAAGACGTCCCAAGAGAGCCCTGACCCTTTCCAAGAGAGTCCCAAGAGGCCAAAATCATTGCTTTCCATTGTTTTTGTTCAAGGTTTTTGGCTTCCTTGCCTTTTCGCGTTTCCGACGCTCCAAGACGGCCCAAGAAGCCTCCAAGACGACCCCAAGACGGCCCAAGAGGCCTCCAAGAGAGCCCCAAGACCACCCAAGAGTGCCCCACGACAGCCCAAGAGGCGCCCAAGACAGTCCAAAAGGACCCCAAGACGGCCCCAAGAGAGGCCCAACATGGAGACCACGAACCGAGAATCCGAGCCTTCCGCTCCAAGAGGCCTCCTGGAGGCTCCAAGAGGCTCCCAAGAGGCCGCACAAGGCGACCCAGGCGGTCACGAAAGAACTCCAAGACTCGACCACGACTCCCGACGTCCTCCAAACGCCCTCGAGAGGCATCCCACGAGATCCCAATGAACGTCCACGAAGCCTCAGAGCGCCAAAACCACTGATTTCCTTTGGGTTTTGCAAGGTCGTTTGCCTCCTCGCCCTTTCGCCTTTCCGACGCTCCAAGACGGCCCAAGAAGCCTCCAAGACTACCCCAAGACGGCCCAAAAGGCCTCCAAGAGAGCCCCAAGACCGCCCAAGAGGGCCCCACGACAGCCCAAGAGGCGCCCAAGACGGTCCAAGCAGTCCAAAAGGAACCCCAAAAACAAAAACAAAAAACAACAAAAAAAAAAAAAAGAAAGAACAAAGAAACCCAAAGAAAAGAAATAAAAAAAAAAAGAAACAAAAAAAAAAAAAAAAAAAAAAAAAAAAAAAAACAACAAAAAAGGACAAACCTCAAACCCCCCCTACCGCCCCACCCCCCCAGCCACCCTCCCCACCCCCCCCCACCCCCGCACACACCCCCCCCCTCACCCTCCCCTCCACACCCCCCCCACCTCCCCCCCACCCCGATCCTCCCTCCCCCCTTGCTCCCCCAGTCAACACCCTCTTCACCCACCCCCACCTACCGCCAGCTACCGCGGCCCCCCAAGGCGCCCACGAACCGAGAATCCGAGCCTACCCTCCACGCAGTCCTCCCAGGAGGCTCCAAGAGGCGCCCAAGACGGTCCAAAAGGACCCCAAGAGGGCCCCAAGAGGGGCCCAACATGGAGACCACGAACCGAGAATCCGAGCCTTCTGCTCCAAGAGGCCTCCTGGAGGCTCCAAGAGGCCCCCCAAAGGCCCCCAAAGGCGACAAGGGGCCCGAAAGAGACTCCAAGAGGCTCGACAACGACTCCCGAGAGTCTCCAAGAAGCCCTCGACAGGCATCCAACGAGATCCCAATGAACGTCCACGAAGCCTCAGAGCGCCAAAACCATTGATTTACATTGGGTTTTTCAAGGTTTTTGGCTTCCTCGCCTTTTCGCCTTTCCGACGCTCCAAGACGGCCCAAGAAGCTCCCAAGACCACCCCAAGAGGCCTCCAAGAGAGGCCCACGACCGTCCAAGAGAGCCCCACGACAGCCCAAGAGGCGCCCAAGACGGTCCAAAAGGACCCCAAGAGGGCCCCAAGAGAGGCCCAACATGGAAACCACGAACCGAAAATCCGAGCCTTCCGCTCCAAGAGGCCTCCTGGACGCCCCAAGAGGCTCCTAAGAGGCCCCAACAAGCGACAAGGGGCCCGAAGAATGCAAAAAGAACTGCAGAATGTTGTCTTGTTCCCTGCGATCGTATTCACGAGCCGCCACCTTCCGAAACAGAAGGTTCAGGCGGGCAAAGAATGGTTCCCGCCTGCGAAATCACCCACAGCCAGCCATCCATAAACAAAAAAACGACCCAGCTGCACCCCATTGACAACGATCACACGGGCACTCGACAGCCGTGCACCAATACGGGCCGGCGGAATGAGCGAAACGATTAAATACGAAAATCGGCTCCAGCCGCGTCCGCGCGCGCGACGACGATGAGCGACGAGCGACGAGCGACGAGCGACGAGCGACGACGACGACGACGACGACAACGACGACTGCGGACCAGACTCCTATGCGGATTCCTATGCGGACACCTATGCGGATCCCGATGCGCACAGCGGCAGTGCCCGGAGCGCACTCGGGGGGGGGGCGTTACGTCATAGAAGGGGGGGGTAAGGCGGGGGCCATGACGCCCGTCATGCCCAAAGCAATAAAGAAACACGATCAAGGGGGGTGCGCGGGTGGTGTTTGGACGACGGCTTCCTCATAAGGGCCCAAAGAGACGCACATAAATCCGCCGACCCTGTCGGCGTGTGTGAGGGGCTTGTCCGTTCGAGTCGTCGTCTCCGTCATTCGTTGGTCGTCGTCTCTGTCATCCCCCTTCCCTGCGCCCACCCTTTCCCTGGGCCCGTCGCCGCTCCCCCCCTTTTCCCTCCCTGGGCCCTCCTCCTCAAGCGCTGGCCCCGTCGCCGCTCCCCCCCCCTTCCCTAGGCCCTCCTCCTCAAGCGCGCCAGCCCAAGCGAAATGGAGCAACGTCGTAATTGACTCGAAGGGAAGCCCCTTCCCTTTGATCCCTCCCCCGCCGGGATGGGGGGGGTCCCGGGGGGGTCACGGGGGGGGGTCCTGGAGCGGAGTCCCGTGTCAGATACGACTCCCCCCTGGGGGGTCCCGGGGCTGAAAAAAAAACCATGCTCCAAGCATGCTCCAAGAGGCCCCCAACACGGTCCAAGAGGGCCCTGAATCGCCGAACGATCTGTCCACGACGCCTTGGCGGCCTCCAGACGGCCCAAGAGCACTGCAAGACGCCCCAAGAAGCCTCCATGAGTACTCCCAAGATGGCCCCAAGAGGAAAAAACACCGGATTTCCCATTGGTTTTTGATGCATTTCGGCGTTCTCGCCTCTTCCACTTCGCGACGCTCCAAGACAGCCCAAGATGCCCCCAGACCGCTCCAAGACGGCCCACGAGGGCTCCAGGAGGGACCCAAAACGGCCCAAAAAGCCCCAGGACGGCCCAAGACGCCTCCAAGACGGCCCAAGAGGCCCCCAAGACGGCTCCAAGAGGATGCCCAGACGAGTGACCAGAGCGGACATGTCGAGCCCTCGGCCCCGAGAGGCTCCCAGGAGGAACCAAGAGGCCCCCAGGAGGCCCCCAAGAGGCCCCAAGAGGCCCCCAAGAGGCCCCCAGGAAGCCCCAAAAGGCCCCCCAAGAGGCTCTCAAGCCCCCAAGAGGCCCCCGAAAGCGCTTCGAAGAGACCCCAAGAAGCATCCATGAAGATTCTGACCCACGTCAGCATCGTTGTCGTCGCCGCCACCGCCGCCGTCGTCGTTCCCCTTCAGGGTCGGCGGCACAAGCCGTAAGGCCTTCGCAATGTTAACCAAATCAAGGATATCCAAATAATTTTACATATTTCATGGATTTCGTCTTTCCCCCAGTTCTCATATGCTCCAATATTCTAGCGGAATTCGAAGATCAAATGTATGTATGACGATTTTCGTCTCCTGATCCCTGCCATAGGAGCGAAGAGCAGGAGCCTGCTCGCCTATTGCAAGACGTCGTTTGCGTGATGTGGGCTCTCACAATTATAATGCATGATGCCGCAACTCTAGACTTGGGCGGAATACGGAGGGCACTGGGAGGGCCAGAGTGTGGGGATGATGGGGGGGAGAGGGAGGGAGGTCGAGGGTGAAGGGAAGAAGGGGGATGCAGAGTGTGGGGATGATGGGGGGGAGAGGGAGGGAGGTCGAGGGTGAAGGGAAGAAGGGGGATGCCTCCTTCTCGTCCGATGTGTCCCGAGGGAAGGAGGGATGCGACCAGAGACACCCTGTGCCGTCCAGGCCCCCTCGGCTTGGCCCTCATGCGCTAGGGGAGGCGGGGAGGCAAACTGCGAAGAGCCTCATCCGTCTATTCCATCCTCATCCTCTTCCACTCGCCCCCCCCCTCCCCCTTCCGTGGGATCTCCCCAAGCCCCCCCTTCCCCCATCGTCACGCCCAAATTCACATCAGCACAACGCAACCTTGTCGTGTGTATTCATTGCCGAGCTGCTGCCACCACTGGACGGGGCATTGGACGCCCCGCGCAGTGTTTTCCGAAGCAGAAGCAGAACAATCAGGTTCCCCGAATCCTTGACATCCGACAGATACTTGATGGCCTTGTCCGCGTGCTTCTCATGCGAAACATCTGGATGGTGTTCCATGACGAGCGACCTGAAAATCTTCCTCCGCTCCTTGACGTCTTTCATCTTGAGCGACTTCAACTCCTTTTCGATCCTCAGCGTGAGCTCGCGAGCCTCTTCATCGTCCGGATGCTCCGCGAGCCTCTTTTTTTTCTGCGGAAGGGAAGAGGGGAAAGGGAGGAGGAGAAGGCTGAGGAGAGAAAGAACAACAAGAGAAGATGCAGGACAACCGGCGAGCCTCTGAGTCGGAACATGCGACGCCGTCCACCCTTTCAAGGCATTGCCCAACTGCGCCGACTGGTTCTCGGTCAGACAGCCTTGATGCTGTTTATGTCGCATCGACCGGACCCACTGCCCAAGCTTGAAGCCGCACTCTCCCTTGGCGGTCAGGCTTATGTATCCTGGCCCGTTTTTGTCTACGTACTTCTTGAGAACATCAAGCCCGACATCGAACTTCTCGCCAAGCTGCCCAATCGTCATGAGCACGCCAGCGCCCCTCAGCCTCGCAATTCTCTCCTGGTCTAGGAGGCCAAGTTCGGCGCGTTGCTTCTGCTCTAGCAACCACTCGCCGACAGGGTACCCGAATTGCACGTGGCTGTAGCTGATCCAGCGCCCCTTTCTATCCTGACTTGCCCTCAGGCGTCCGAACTCCATATCCCACCCTACGCCTAGCTGCTTGACCCCCCGTGCCACTGCCAACTCGGCCAGTTCCTCAGACATGTCAACATGGATAGGAGACTCGCACTGCATGCACCGCTCGGGTTGCCCCTCCTCCTCCTTCTCCAACCATCATCATCCTCGCCTTCTTCCTCCTCCTCCTCCTCCTCCTCCTCCTCCTCCCTCTTCATTCCTGCCGTTTCCACCCTCCCCTCTCCTCCCGATCCTCCTCTGCCTCCCGCCTCCACGGAACCCTACGAAGGCAATCGCTTGATGTACTTGCAAAGGGGACGCTTCTAGAAGACAACGAACCAGCCATCAGACTGCCGCGGGAAGAAAACCATGCTGGACTCCAGATCGCCCGAATCACTCTACGCACAAGGCAGATATGAGGAGCATCGCATGGGCACCAGAAACAGCAGGCAAAGGAGGAGTCGCACTCGTAGTGAGAAATAAAAGAATAAGTAGCAATAAGAGTAGCACTCGTAGTCGTAGTCGTCATCGCAGTAGTAGCTGTAGTAGCAGAAGTAGCACTAGGAGCAGAAGACAAATAAGCAGTAGCAGCAGTAGTAGAAACAGTAGTAATAGTAGTACTAATAATAATAGCAGTAGTAGTCGTAGTAGTAGTTGTAGTAGAAGGGAAAGCAGAAACAACAGTAGTAGCACAAGTAATAATAATACTAGTTGTAGTCGTAGTAGTAGTACCAGTAGTAGTACACATCCTGGGAGTGGTACTGATCGTAGCCCGAATCGTAAACATAATAAGTGTAGCAGTCTTAGTGGTAGTACCACTAGAAATAATAGTAATAGTAGTCGTAGCCGTCGTAGTAGTGATCGCCGTAGTGGTAGCCGTAGTAGTCGTAGTCGTCGCGACCGACATAGTGGTGGTAGTAGTAGTAGTGGTGGTGGTAGTCGTAGCAGTAGTGCTAGTAGAAATAATAATATTCATAGCAATGTTCGCATTCGTGTTCGTAGTAGTGGTCGTAGTAATAATGAGAGCAATCCCAGTCGTAGTAAGAGTAGTAGTAGTCGTAATCGTAATCGTAGTCGTAGTCGTAGTAGAAGTAGTCGCTCATGTAGTAACTGTGGTACTAGTACTAGTAGTGCTAGTAACACTAGCCGTACTATTAGTACTAGTAGTAGTGGTAGTAGTAGTAGCAGTAGTAGTAGTAGAAGTAGTAGCAGTAGTCGTCGTAA